CATCTGGCCGTGATAAAATGATGATGTGCCACCAGCACATGCTTGAGCTAGGCAGTCACATCGTTCTTGAAGAGGGATCCCTGGTCACCTACGCAGTGATAACACACGCCAAAAACGCTGAACCGCTGCAGCAAACAGCGCGCCACAGCTTGCGCGTTCGCCACGTCGGATTTCCAAAACCACTTGAACTGGCTAATATCATCCTTGGCCACAAGGATGTAGCCACCATCCATGTAGAGAAAATCCCAATGAAGGATTTCATTGGGCTTTGTGGCATGCGCCGTTGCACCAAACGGGAGTAAAACATGACTACCGGTACTTCCACAATGCAAACAACGGCCTACAAAGTACGACACGTCCGAGGCAGTATCGGACCACCAAAATCGATCCACCAAGCGCTGCTTCGTCGCGTTGATCCCACGGTGTCCTCCTACACCAAAATGCGCGACCACACACAACCGCATCTGCAGGTCACTGGCAGCCGTCGGAATCCACACCGCTCCCGTGGCGGTCTTGAGCACCGGCTCGTCGTTGTTGCCCACTTCCACCTGGTGTTCCACCAGTTCGGCGACAGGAAATTCCCCGTTTCCAACGGCTTGGACTTGAGCATCCACGATCTCGTCCAAATGAATTCGCCATTTCGCAATGGCGAAATCTGCAACGGCGCGTGCACGATGGGGCATATAAGATTGGAATTCGTTCCCCATCGGGACAACAAATCCGCCCACACGTTGACATCACCAGAGATGTCATAAATGGTGTAATCGTACCCCATGAGTAGTAGCGCCCAGCGATCGAATTTCGCTGCCGTGTACTTCGGGATCGCGGCGTTCACACTGGCTGGGTTAAAAATGAACTTGAGGTTTGCGTGGTCGGTGAACAACACAAATCCACCGGGCTTGTAGAGCATGTAGGCTGCACGCTTCAGACACTCCACGATCGAGAAAGCTTCCTTCTTGATGATTGCCCATCGTTGCGCCGCGTCAGAAAATGTGCCGGTCAGAAACATCAGCGGCTCATGGTCTTGCGCGTCCAATTCACGATCCACCTGATCGTGAGGAATTTGAGTCACTACGCCGCCCCAATGCAAATCGCTGGCGTCGGCGAACACACACATAAGCCGCTCCGGCTTGGGATGGGCGAGGGTTTCCACACGTCCCAAGGAATCCTTGCAACTTGTGAGGCATGCTGCATGCTCAGCGTTCCATCCCACGTCAGCCAACACAACTTAGGCCACCTTCTGTCGAGTGCGTCCACCAGCCGCCTTGTACACCGACTCCAGCAGATCGGTAATCGGCTGTACAATGACATTGTACTTTGGGATCGACATGCGCATCCAATTCATGGCGCATATGAATTGCTGCAGATCTTGCCCGGTCACCGGCATTTTCAGATCTTCCCCGTTCACCGGCATTTTCAGAGCTTGCAACGCCTTGATGCGTTCCGGGTCGTGCTTGACTCCTTCGGACGACAAAATTTGTCCACACCAGCGCGCTTCGGTTTCAAAGAACCGACACTTCTGTTTCAGCCTGAGTCCGCGCGACTCACAGATGGCCAGGACTCGTTCGAGCGCGGCCAACACCCCTCCTTGGACTTGTCGTAGCCCAACAAATCGTCCAACGAGATCAACAACGAGCGGTAGAGCTCGTCTTGGAACATTTCTTGAACCGAAGATTGGCAGTACGCCACGCTGTCGGTACCCCCCATGAGCACGCGCATCGGCGTGTACGCCGGTGTCGGTCAGGAACGAAAACATTTCTTGCGACGCTTCGTCCAGTGCAAACTGCGAATAGCCCTTGAAAAAGTCGAGGGTAAAGAACTCACGGGCACCTGCGAGGTGATCCAAAATCACCTCCAGCATCGGCCAAATGATGCGCTCCGTCTGTGCGTTCACTGGACAGACGTCCACAGTCATGCGAAAATCGTTCGCTTCGGGCTTCTTGACGATTAATGGTGCCGAGCACCATTTTGACCGGGGATTGCGGTAACATAACCCCGCCGCCTGTAGCTCTTCAACGTACTTGGCCATGAAGTCCCGCTGCTCCTTCGAATAGCGGCGCGCCTTGCACCGCCCCGGTTCAGCGCCATCGTTGAGCGTCACACGTAGCGGCGCTACATCCACCGGCGGATCTCGGCCCAACAAAAGCCAAAACACGTCTTCGTAGCGCAATAACAGCGCCCACAGCGCCCTAGCGAAATCCTCGCCGCATCCCGCGGCACGACATTCGCTGACCTTGTCCTTCAGCTTCGCCCGCACCACAGCTTGGTCGTTTTCTTTCGACCAATCAGGAGTCACTTCAGGAAAACACGCTTGTTCTTCCTCGGGATACAGCGACGCTTCTTCAGGCGATCATGGTAGTTTTCCATCGCTTCAACCACCTTCATGGCGGCCATTAGCTGCGTGTCCTTGCCGCCCAACTGGTCCAGGTCGTACACGCTCTGCGCTCGCCGCGCATTCAGCAGCAACGAACGGGGGCAATACCCGAGCTTCGTCATCACGTCGCGACTCACGATTAGGTCGCCCAGGCCGTTTTGTAGTGGCGCCGCCGCCACCCAACACTTGAGGTTCGTGATCACCAGCGTTCCCTCGGCCGTTTCAAAGGTCAGACGTAACTTGAGTCGCGGTCCACATCGATCTTCATGCCTTCCATGAACCCGCCCAATTCCAGAGCGTCGTCCAACTGTCGAACCGGTGACGTAAAATTGCCCGTTTCTTCCAGACGTGATAGATACGTCGGCGACAACACAGATTGGTCAGCACCACTGTCGAGTAATGTCGTAGCCTTGAGGCCATTGATGTCGCAATTCAGGGTGCGATGAGCGCGCGCTTCGACCACAACGGCTGCGCCAATAACTTTGGCCTTCTTGTCGGTCTTCTTGTCCGGCTCGGCCACAGCAGCGACACGCCGTTTCTTGAACCGCTGGTCCAGGAGTCGCTGTGCTTCTCCGGGCTGGTACTTCAACACCTTGTGGTCTTCACTACCACACATTAAACACCCCTTCGCATACGGGGCTCTGGCTGGCGCCCCGCTATCCGCTTTCTTCGGTGGAATTGGCGCAGCAGTTTTTCGCCATATTGCCGCAGCCGATTCTGATCCGGCTTTGGATCCTTCGCAACTAATTGCGACTCGCACAACATGAAGTTGTCCATCAGGGATACTAACCAGCGACAGAACGAAATGACGTCGGACTTGTACGCCTTGTTAGCTTTCCGCGTCAACTGTCGCTCGACAGTTGCCTTCAACTGCGACGGTGGAATCGCCGCCGTGAGGATCTTCACCGACTGCTTCGGTTCCTGCTCCGGCAAGTGCGCCACATCCAGGTGCTTCAACTTGATGTAGAAATCGGCTAGCCGACCGACTCGAGACTCGGGTCACGGATCTTCGTGTCAATCTTGAGCGACGCCATTGCTTTCGCCACAGAATACAGGTCCAACTCTTGGACCTCGCACGCCGATACAAAGTAATCGCGCCATTCGTTTTTGGTAATTTCTTCGAACAACTCTCCAAAATCATGTGCGCACACACGCGGCAGAATAATCTGGTCAATGCGTGCTGCCAACGGCATCAAAAACATGGTACCGCCCATGCCGCGGTTCAGCACTTCCACGCGTCGCGAGTAGGCTAGATATTCGTCCATGAACTCACGACGCTCGCGCTTCGTGCTACCCTTGTACATAGGTGCCAGCGGCACCTGTTGCACACCCATAAGGTTCTCCATGCGGCTTGTCGGCGCCGTTTGTTCGGATGGAAATGGCGATCGTTGATTGGTCGCTTCAACGAATAATCCCCATTGCTCGCTATCCCGTCGGACCTTCTGGTTCAGCACTTCTACCTTGTAGTTCTGCTGGCGCATCGCATCCGACGCCTGGCGGAGCATTTCTTGATGCGCTTCCGAGACCCTGGCTTGTTCGGCCATCTCTCGCTTAAGTTCGTTTTGCTTACGAACCGGTTCTTGTTGACGTAAAAGAATCGCGCGTGATTCTTCTTGTTCCAGGTGATTCTTCTCCATCGTCTTCGCCAACGCAAACTGTCGGGAAGACTCATCTTCCATCCGCTTCGCCATGGCTTCTTGCTGCGCATAGAACTGCGCCAGCTGTTCGTACGTCATTTGGTTGAAATGACTAGACGTCATCGCTGCACACTTCACGCTTTGCATCCGTAGCTCGTTGATCTCCGCTTGATTCTGTGGAGGTAATGGCACGGCCACCACGGTCTCCATAGACCGCGTTCGTGTCACACGAGCCAGGTTGTTCGTAAGTGGCAGACGTTCTTGTTCCATACTCGTACGGCAAGTAGCAGGCTGCTAATAAAGAATTCTTTGTTGCGTCACAACTTGACGGACCTTGCGAAGTCCGATCCAAAGGCAAATCACAAAGTGAATTCCCCCAGTGGTAAGTAGTCACTGGGGCTTAACCCTAACCTAATCAGACAGCTGCTGGGCAGCCAATAATCTAACTAGCGAATATATCACACCCAGGATATCCAACCTAATCGAACACTTGGATACCTTCTTGGGAGGGGTTCAGGGGTTCTGCGAATGGCAAATACGCAACACACACACATCATGCTGTATTATGTATGCATGGAAGTCCTTCTCGTCGATGGCCTACCCTGTCCCCATCATTCCGATGATGGTCATACAGTCACCAAACTTGCCCACAGCCCGGAAGATGCCATCACAGCGTGGAAGGGAGAGGACATCGTTCCCATCTTCCAAAAGTAATGAAGATCTTCTTCTGCCATGGGCGAAGACGGGGATACCAACCGCCTTCCACGCCGCGACGACATGTTCCTTCGACGGGTTGTAGCCAGATGTAGATCTCCAATATTGGGTGTAGTGTTTTCACACTTGCTTTTCCGGTCGAAGAATGACTGGAATTGGTCCTGTATTGGCCGAGATACAGTAGGGTGATTAGCTGGCGTGCGATGATCGCCGACGCGAAGTTGCCATTAGCTGGCAAAATTGTTCGATAAAATAGCTTATGCATCTCAAATTATTTACACGCGCAAGTCCTCCCATTCCATAAAGTTGTTAGTGAGAAAACACGAGTAATTCCCCCACTTTTCATAACACGCGTAAAACCCCCAAAAAGCACGCGTGAAAACTCTTTTCCCGGTGAGGAGCCATGTGATCGGGAGGCTGTCTGCCAGCGTATGACCGGGGGAGCCTTCGGGAACAACGAACCAGTATGCGGTCTGCATGTGGCTGGTGCTGGCTGTGCGGATTTCAGTGGATAGTTGCCGCCACCAGGTGGTGGAGAAGGGGTGGTGTACGAGATGTCGTACCCGTCAATGTTGACGATCGGTACAAAGTACAAGTTGAACAACTCCGCCGCCGTCGTTTTCTTGTTGGCAATGTCGTCCAGCATCGAAGACAACGCAAACAAGTTGGACGACCCCACAACCCATTCCCGGGCGTGGAGCAGACTTTGAAAATACAGCGACTTGGACTTGGACGCGCCGTCGGTCAGTTTGTACGCGTAGATAGTCTTGCCTTAGACGGTGGTCGAAATCGCTTCCCTTGTCAGCAAAGTTGGGTTCTGCGCCACGAGCGCATCCACGTACTCGAAGATTTGCTCCGACGTGCGGAAACATTTGAAGAATTTGCTAGTCGTGTACTCGCCAGCTTTCAACGTCTCGATGTACCCGTCGAAGTGCTTGTGGCACTCGCAGACCTAGTCGTCCGGATCGCTTGGACTTGGGCGTCGGTGCGGAGTTTTCTGTCGGGGCCTTGTACCAAGGCGTCTCCAGCAGCAAATGCTGCAGCCGTCGAGGCAAGCGCGAGAATTTGCAATGGTCTTCATGAAGCAAATGCAATAATGAGTGCAGGGTTTGGGGAGCTCGTGTGTGTTGTAGGGGACGCCATTCTCGTTTGGACACAAGTATAGGTATACTAAAACTGTAAGGGGGCAGCGCGTGTTTCTTGTTCATGCACTTTTGGACACAAGTATATGTACAGTACAGTATACTATGTAATAGTAGTGCGATATGTCCTCAAAATTGTATACAGGGAAGGACGCTGAATAGTGCCGCAAGATCGCGCCTTGATTGGATGTTCGATTGGCTAATAACGATCAATGTCACCCATAATTTAATGCTTACACGATGGAAGTATTGAAATATGGGATGCGGCGGTACCCGCCGCTGCATGTGGAGTACATGCGCAGCCATGTGGCTGCCCTGGAAGCAAATGGTATGGTATACCAAAACAACAGGGCTACGTGGACCGCAGCCTCAAGGATCGTGCCGAAGAAAGAAGTCAGCGCCTTGCGCATGACGATCGAGAGCAGGCCGATCGACGCCTGCACGGAGCTGATGCCTTGGCCGATGCCAAATCTGGACAGTGCGATGGCCTGTCTGGTCGGGACGAACGTGTACTTCACGTTGGACTGGACCAAGGGGTACTGGCAGTTGACACTACATGCGGACAGCCAGATGTACTTCTCGTTCATGACGCCCTTCGGCGAGTACACCCCGACACGCGTGCTCATGGGACAGACGGACGCTGTCGCGTACTGCCAGTCAGTTGTCCACCAAATGTTTAGTGAGCAGCTGTTTCGAGGCGTGTTGGTCTGGCTCGATGACTTGCTGGGGTCCGCCAAGACGACGGACGAGCTGCTCGACTTGTTAGACCAAGTCCTGTCCATCTGTGCCCAGTTCGGACTCAAGTTGAGCCCGAAGAAGTGTCATCAGTGGTGAGGCAAGGTGATTTCGGCCGTTGGAATCACCCATTCCCCAAGCCGAATTCAAGGACTCGTGGATTTGTCGCCGCCGACGACCGCGACCGACCTCCAACAGTGTGTATGTGCCACCAATTGGATGCGTGCGAGCATCCCTGGTTACAATCAGCTGGTAGATCCATTGCGACGTATGCTCGACGTGGCCACCTAGGCAACCCGAAGCTGCAAGAAAACGGCGCTAGTGCGTGTTGCACTCCCTGCCGTGGGATGGTCGTCCGATCAACTCAAGTGTTTTGTCAACGAGGTGAAACACGCGTTGGTGCACGTGGTGCCCCTGTCGCACCCGCGAGAAGACATGACGGTCTGCGTCTTCACGGACGCCAGTGACCTGTTTTGGGGCGCGGTAGCCACACAAGTACCGCCAACGGACCTCGACTTGCCTCTCGAAGACCAGCGGCACCAGCCGCTTGCGTTCATCAGCGGGTCGTTTTCTGGCGCGAGTGCGCGCTGAAGAAGTCCTATGCCGTGATCGAGTCGTGCAAGAGACTCGACTGCCTGGTCGTACGCCCGGGTGGTTTCCGTCTTTTTACGGATCACCGCAACCTGGTGTACATCTTCAACCCAAGTGGCTCGTACGCCAACATGGCCAAGTACCAGGTCGAGAAGCTGCAGCGATTGTCGCTGGCGATGTCGACTTTCCCGTACACCATTGAGTGCGTCTCGGGGGACGCGAATGTATGCGGCGACCTCCTGAGCCGATGGCGTTCGGCTCCGACGGATCAACTAGTTCCGAATGTTCGCAAGTTGATCCATGTGGTGTCGCCCCTGCAACAAGTGAATTTCAAGTGGCCGACAGCCACTACGATCAGCGACGTCCAAACGTTCAACCATGGATGGAGGAGGGACGTCACAAGTTTCTGACGGGCGGCGCCAAGCGACGTAAACTTCCTTGGACGTCGGGCGCAAACCGTCCGACAAAATTGGCCCTGCATTGGCGCGGACCCTGCCAAGTGACCAGAGTTATCACAGACCATGTGATGGAGACTCAGCAGCTGGTGCCACCGTATGAAGTCACAGTCCATCATGCATGTCGATTGAAGATGTACCACGAAGTTGGTAGAGAGGTGACCGAAGACCTCGAGGCGCAGATCGCGTTTGGCGATGGCGGATTTCATGTGGAGCGCCTGGACGAAGTGTGCTGCGTGGATGGCCAACACCAAGTTTTGGTGAAGTGACTTGGACTTGACGATGAAGAATCGTCCTGGGAACCTGCGGCGAATTTGCTGGACGACATTCCAGTCGTATGTCGCAAGTGGGCGGCGGCGAACAAGGAAGACCCTGCCGTGGCCGCCCTCATCAAGACACTGGACTTTCCGTAGGAGGGGAAGTGTTCTGCAGCATGCAGCGCAATTAGATCGCGCGTTAGTTTGACTCATTGCAAACACACACACTCTGTGTGTGTGGCGTGTCAAAGGTTCCGATACCTTAGTGGAGGTACTAAGTACTTTAGTGAATGGTAGTCAGTAGGCGCCTCGTGGCGTGTTTAACCTCACTAATGTCAGTGTTATATTTGCTGCCTTGACGAAGGTCCCGTGGCCCAAAGCCATTCACACCATAAACCTTTTGTTACATAACGGTTAGTCCCCAGTGTTTTAGATAATCCGCACCGTGATTTAGGATGTCACATTTCGTTACAGAATGGTATAGGGAGGTATTATCAAATCGATTAAAAAAAAGAGCCCTCGGGAGAATCGAATGTCTTAGAATCGATTAAAGAACCGCCAATCAAATCACGTCATGTCAAATTTCTGTCAATCCAAACGTTTGACCCCTCCGCATTGGGCAAAACCATTTATATACTAAGATGATGCAAAGTTATTTGAGTCGGTTTTGGAAGAAGCGCCATTCCTGCCAGCACACAAGCGAAGCGGCGTGTGTTAATGCTCCTACTAGTATGTATTACTAGTACTTCGAAGTAATAGAGTTTTGCATTCGTTTTAGAAGTTGGAGTTTCTAGTCCAATCGAAGAGCCAATGAAATTATTTCATTTCAACATTCCAACCAATGGTACTCCAGCGATGTTTGACCCAAAGATATGGCCCGCGAACACTTTATAACTTTATGTAATTTTTGAGCAGAATACAATTGACGGATTAAATTATGCTTCACTGTCAAGTCCATTTCTCCAATCTAATAAACTACCCGGTCCAAATTTAGGTGAAAAGGACAATAGTACTATCACTTCACAGCGCCCAAAGCGTAAGCGGTATACAATCCAAATGTGCATCAAAAAGAAACCCGCTCTGCCCTCCTACACTATTAGAGTAGGATACATATACTTGTGTCCAAACGAGAATGTAAAAGATACCCACGCTGCCCCCATACTACATACACGAGCTCCCCAAACCTTGGACTCATTCTTGAAATTGCTGCTTGAAGACCATTGGAATTCTCGCGCATGCCTCGACGGCTGTAACATTTGCCGATGCCTTGGTACAAGGTCCCGACAGGAAACTCCGCACCAACGCCCAAGTCCAAACCTTCCGAGACGACAAGGCCCGCGAGCCACAAGCGCTTCGACGGGTGCATCCAGACGTTGAAAGCTGGCAATTACACGGACAGCGAATTCTTCAAATGTTTCCGCACGTCGGAGCAAATCTTCGAGTACGTGGATGATTTGGCGAAACAGAACCCAACTTTGTTGACAAAAGAAGCGATTTCGACCACCGTTGAAGCAGCAGCGGACTCATACAACTTGTACTTTGTACCCATCGTCAACATTGACGGGTACGACATCTCGTGGAACAGCAAGCGGTTGCAGCGCAAGAATGCGAACGAAGTCGACTTGAACCGCAACTGGCCGGCGGCCTTCAAACACTCTGAAACCGAACCAAACTTACCCTGGCACGAGTCCGTTGAGCGAGCCAGAAACTAAGGGGATTCACAAGTGGCTCGAGTCCAAGAGCTCTGAGCTCGCCGGCTGTGTGGACGTGCATTCGTACGGGGGGTGGTGGTGGTCTTGTACCCTAATGGCGACACGACGGAACCCATCGGCAACGGTGACGACGAAAAGTTTAAAGTTCTCGGCGACAAAGTTGCCGCCGCAGCCAGTAGTACCAACTACAAGGCCCAAACAGCGGGTTCCTTCGGGGTTGCGATCGGGGCGTTCGATGACTACATCTGTAGCGATGTGACAGGTGGGTTAACGGCTTGCCACCACCTTGCCCGCACCCAGCTCCTAAGTACCTGGCTCATGACGAACCCTAGCTAATGCTTGCCTGGGAATGTGTCTCAAGGGCAAGTATAGCTTAGAATCGCTAGCCTAGTGAGGTTCCCAATGTCTCAACCGCACCTGCATCCATTGTATACAAAAATACATATTAGTGTAGAAGTAGTGAAGTAGACTAAGAAGATTTCATAGTGATGAGGATTAAGGAGATCTTTGTAGATCTTCAGTTAATTCATTGTGCATTTTGCCCTCAACTACACACGCTTCCTCCCGCAGTGCTACATTTGGTAGCACTTCCTGGTTACCTCGCCCAAGCCCCGTTCAACTGCTGTAGCTGTACGTAGCCAGTGATCTTAGACGGTTGTTGTGGTCGTTTGCAGAGTCTACACATCGCCAAAGGTTTTGAAAACGTGGTCTTTGCTACCCGTTACCTGGTGATAGTCTCCGCAACAAAATCCATACACGTTCTGAGTGATCTACTAGTGTATGCCCCGTAGTAAGACCCGCAAGCCCCAACTCGCGGTCACCAAAGACATCGGCGACCTATTTGACTATCCGGATCTGCCGGTTAAGCTACGCCAAGACCTTTACGTGTTAACCCGTCACCAACGCGTGGTTATCAACAAGTTGCGTGCCCAGATCCCAGAAGCGAAGAACTCCGACGCCCGCAACGCCATCCAAGAGATCACAGACTTACTGATCCACCGAAACAACCAAACCGAAGAACTGATTGAAGGAGTCCTCGACCGCAAGATACAAGTGTACCACAAGGCCCGCAAGATCAAGGCTGAAGCGAGAGTAGATCGAAGTTCGAAGTAGAATAATTGAATTTCAACTGAATTACAAGATGGATGAAGTTTTGCGCACAATGGCAGAATCCTTTCAGCGACATGAACAGCTGTTAGAAATGCTT